ATGTGTAATAAAATTATTAAGAAAATAACGAGAAACCTTTGTTAGTGAAAACAATGCAAAACATGTACAAATTAAATTTATGGTTAAAAATATAAATGTATATAAAAAGTCAGTAAAATAGTATTAAATTAAATATTAAAACAAATAAATTAATACTGAAGTTTAGTTCGGTGAAAATTTGTTAAAATCGGATGATGTAAATAAAACGTAAATAAGTTAGTTGAATGTGAAAAGAAGACATGCGTGGAAAGAATATGGAAAATTGTCAAAATTAATTATTAAGTTTATAATGATATATAAGAAATTTTAATAAACGAATCCGTAAATGAAACAACTAAATTAGATTAAATTGGAATATAGACTATTTATGAAAAATATAATGGAATAAGATAAAATGAATGAAATAAAATAAAATGAAAAAATAAAATGAAATAAAATAAAATGAAATAAAAATAAAACAAGTAATTGTAATGTATCACAGCTAATATGGATGTTAAGATGCACTGTCGAATAACGAAACCAGCGATACGGAAACATTAGTCCTATGACGAGCGGTAACATGTTCGAGTGGTAACATGTTCACCATTAAACAGTATCGCTTCTTTTGGCATTGGCTCGTATTCGAAGTGGCGCAACATTGGTGGTTCTAGGATATTGGTATGAACGGCACGTTGTGGACTATCATGTCTATACTGGGAGTAAAGATGTAGGCTATGATCAAATGTGTTAAATTATATATATATATATATATATTTTTACAATATTCTATATTATATATATATATATATATATAATTCATGTTTGCTATGTTGTTTGTTAAGTTATGTTATATATATATATATATATATATATATATATATATATAATCCCTCTTACTTTCCCTCTCCCTCTCTCCCTCTCTCTCTCTCTCTCTCTTTCGTTCCGATGTAGTTGGCACCAACGAAGCAAAAGTCATCCAGGTGATGACGTCACACGACAATAAGCAAAGACAGGAAATTATTGATAACTAATTTCGACAACGAACATAAACCATTTCAACATAACGACAAAAATGTTATGAATGATTTAATATTTCCGCAGCTGATTTCGACTTGACTGGGCAAGTTATATGGCCGGCAGCATGGGTTCGTTCAAGCATTTAAAAAATTTGTAATAAATCTTCAAATATTTTTATTTAGACTTATCAAGTGTTTATAAATTGATTTATTCTGTTCTTTTGTTACATTATTATATTTTTTTATCATTTGTATTGAACTACACTATTAGAGTTTTTCGTTATTGGTTTCTTAATTTTTTTTTTCATTATTTTGTGTTTGTTGTTCAGTAAATTTCTTAATAATGGTTAGAGATTAGCTACCAAAACCATTGTATTATGTTTAAATCATTGGTACGTAGTTTGTATATGTCATAGAATTTTGTCCTGTTTCGTTGTTGGCTATTCATTTTGATTACTTTGCGTTCACTACAGGCATTAAGTTGTTATTTGTCTGAAAATCCTGCTATTTGTCAGAGGAAAAAAATTTTGGAGCTTGGATCAGGAACTGGTTTAACAGGACTGTTGGCAGCGAAACTTTCTGATGATCCGTCCAAAGTTTTCTTGACTGATAATAATGATCACGTTCTTGAATTACTGCAAAAAAATATTGAGAGCAACTTTGAAAATTCCTGCTGTTGGTTTAATTGCTTTAGTCTTTTTAAATCTTTTTTTCACCTTATTAAAAATCTTTTCAAGTTTTACATAGATTTTAAAAAATTTTTATCTTAAGACAAACCTGTTTGTTCTAACTTGAGTTGGGGAAAAGATCATTTGAAAACTTTCACCGACAAACATGGGTCAGATTTTAATATGCTCCTTGGAGCTGATGTCGTCTACTGGCCTGCCTCTGTATCTCTTTTTATAGAGACTGTGCAACACTTTCTTAAAAATTTGGTTAGATTTTTTCTATTTTCCTTGCATAATAATTTATTTATTTTTTTTATTTTGCAGCAAAATTCATTTTTATTACTTGGGTATACAGAAAGATCACTTCAAACTACTAATTTACTTTTTTCTGTTGCTAAAAACTCCAATTTAAATGTTGAAGAGCTAAGCACTAATTCAAAACATTTAAATGTTCATATATATAAATTCATTTATGACAAATCTTATCTCATAATTTAAAAAAATACTCGATTGAACTAAAGTTAGATTATGGATTTTTTTTTAATTTAAATTTTTTTATGAATTTTGGTTGTCTGTTTTCTTTGTTAATCTTGTTTGCAGTTTTATAGACCAACAATTCTGTTATCAATTGACAGCGGATTGAAAAGCGGAAAATTAGAAAACCGCTAAGAAGTTAATTTAGAGTGAGCCTTTATTATATTCAAAATAGCACTTCTGTTTTTTATCTTATTATTTTAATCTTTTTTATTATTGTCGGAAATTTTAAATGAAAACAACTGATGGTGTGAGGTAATCTCCTCTTCTATCTTTCTCAGGGAATTTTTTTATGGTCCGACAATAATTTTTGTGTATATTTTTATCGTGAGTTCGACCAGTCCTGTGTGGCACTGGGCTTTTTCGAATTATATGATTTTACTGAGTAACACACGAACGCGTAAAGAAAAATATTCGATAACAATTTTATTAATCGACGGAAGTAAATGAAAAGGAATTGAACTAAATGAACTCTATAATAATGTAAAATGTCAATGAACAAACTGGAATACAGAAATTAGAACTTCTTCTTGTTGGGTCTTCGACTTGGGATGTGTTTCTTGCCGTTTAATCGTACAACCTCGACGTGTGTAACCGATAGTGATGTCGATACAACTCCAAGAAATAAATAAAATGAATGCGGAAAAATTACAAAAATCGGAGCCTATGGAAATTCCAAGCTGCGTGTGAAACTATACCAATGAGTATAGAATCCAGCAAAGAACCCTAGGTCCACAAATAGCACAAGAAACAAAACAACGAGGCGGATTCGTTTTCACAGAATCCAAGGCCTGTTTTCACTGGGCCTGTCTGTCAGTCGGTCGGCTTTCGCACAACCAAGGGCCTGTTTTCACTGGGCCGTCGAGTCTGGTCGGCTTTCGCACAACCAAGGGCCTGTTTTCACTGGGCCTGTCTGTCAGTCGGTCGGCTTTCGCACAACCCTGGCCTGTTTTCACTGGGCCGTCGAGTCTGGTCGGCTTTCGCACAACCAACACAAAACAACAAAAGTCAGAACAACACTGGAAACAAATTGTGTGACTTTAGTACGCGTGCGAAACTATGCCAATGAGCAAAGAATCACGAATTAAGTCTCTTAGATATCAGAATAGGCACCGATTATTTGAAGCTGCCTAACTGGTGAACCCAAGGCGGACTCTTTTTGAGAACTTAAGACGTTTCTGAAACTATGCCAGTGAGCATAGAATCACGTATTAAGTCTCTTAGGGACCAGAATAGGCACCGATTATTCGAAGCTGCCTAACTAGTCAACCCAGTCTTCACTTCCCCTCCACACCCTTCCTTATCAAAACAAAATTAGATTTTGTTTCGGGTGTTTTTAAACATAAAAATTTCCAAGGTATGTCCAATTAATCAAAAAAACTACTAATTAAATTTTAAAATAATTTGTAATAATTTATGACGTCATCTAAATTGCAAAACAAAAAAAATCGTCGTCACCTATCGAGTAAATTAACTTGCACCATGCCCCCTATCGAATGAATAAATTTTGCGTTGAAAACTTTGAAGTATTTTTAGTCAGTATTATTTCATAATTCTGACTCTATTATCATTATTATTATTATCATCGGATTATTTGTATATTTTCTTTTATTACACCCTAAGGTGCTAACAACGTACTTGTTGAGTTTATTTGCAACTTTTCTTTTTAACCATGTCGGATTATATTGCCGAAAAAATTGTCCGAATAAGTGGGATTTTAGCTTTCTTTGTAATTTCAAAGTTGACATCTCACGATTTTGCAAGTCGAGTGACAGACTATTCGTAATCTTGGGTCATTTGACAGCAAAATCTCTTGAACCAACAGTAAGTTGAGTTTTATAAAGCGATAGCTAATCTAAATCATTTGATTGCAACTTGTAACACAGTGATGGAGTATTTTTGGAAACAATTTTATTCATCGAATAGTTTGGATCTAGTAAGGCAATTTTTAAAGCAATCCTTTGTTGAGTGGGCAACCAATGGAATAAAAGAGAATAGAAGTAATATTGTCAAATTTCAAACCTACGTTTAACATCCTGGCTGCTTGATCCTGGAAAGATTGTAGTTGTGCAACAGATTTTTTTGGCAAACCATGAAACAGACTGTTGCAATAGTCGATCCTTGAAGTCTTGTGAAGATCTCCCGTAAGTTTTCGACGTGTTGATCAAATGTTCTTCCTAGAACAATTATGTCGTCTAAATAGACAAGACAGGTTTTCCAGTTAAGACCTTGCAATACACATTCCATCAGTCGCTCGAATGTAGCTGGAGCAATGCACAATCCAAATGGCATGACGGTGAATTGCCACAACCCCGATCCGATAGAAAACGCTGTCTTTTCGCGATCGTTCTTATCGATTTCTACTTGCCAGTATCCGCTTTTCAAATCAAGCGTAGAGAACCAACTTGAGCCAGATAGGGTGTCCATGATGTCATCAATCCTCGGTAACGGATAGCTGTCCTTTTTAGTCACATCATTTAACTTCCTATAATCAACGCAAAAACGGTTAGTGCCGTCCTTCTTCTTTACCAAAACAACTAGCGAAATCCAGGGACTTGATGACGATTCGATGACGCCTTGATTCTGCATTGTCGTTATCATTTCGTTTACTTCTGTTTGTTTTGCTAGAGGAAGACGTCGTGGTACTTGTCGGATCGGTTTCGAATCCTGAGTATCAATTCGGTGAGTTACCAGAGCTGTTTTACCTTGGTCATTGTCACCGGTTGAAAACACGTCTGCAAAATCAGCAATCAACGCCTCGGCTTTTAAACGGTCTTCTTGATACAAATTGAGTTCATCCAGTAGATTTTTGGTAAGTTCTTTGAGTCTACCTTTGTCAGTTGGTAGAACCTGTTCCTGTTGCTCCATACCTAATGATTTCACCAAATTTATTGATTGGCAATTACCTATTTCCTCGCCTTTTTTAATTTTAATAGTGTGTTTAGCGGTATTCATTATTCTGACAGGAATAAGATCATTTTTGTTCGCTTCTATCAGGCATTTTCCAATGACCGCGTTCTGTACATTTGTTGTTGAGGTTGGCTCCATCAAATAGAACTGGTGGCCCCAAGGATCGCAATTCAACTTGCCCCATACGATGTTTTCAGATGATTGAGGTAGTTCTAAGTCACAATCGACTGTCACTCGAATGCATTTTTCGTCGCTATCCCCCATTATCACTTTTGTATTTCTCCATCTAAAAATGCGTTTTTCTAAGTCAATTTTGAACCCATATTCTGTCAGAAAGTCGACACCTATTATGCATTCGTCGATGATATCCGCGACTAATAATGAACCTTCGAATAACAAGTCGCTTAGCTGAACAGTACGGAGAATCTATCGCTATGACAACGTCAACAAACAAATCAAATATCGCTTTAAATAATTCACCGAATCGCTATTCACGAAATCACAAAATCACGAATTTCACTAATCACGAATCTTCTTGCGACGTGCGCTTATATAGGGTAGCATGGGGCAAAAAGCCACCTCTAACGTTTGGCGGTTGACCACACCCAACAACTCGAACATTTTTTAAAGTTTAATGTTGCCTTAGCTAGATTGGTATGTCCACTACCTAATTCTACAATTTAAATTATTCAAAAATACAGTTTCTGTGTTTTATGAGGAAAACTATAGAGGTCTATCAAAAGAGCTTCTTGCCCCATACCTGGGGCAAAAGGCCTAAATTAAGAAATTAACAAAACAAGCTGTGATTACAATGGTTATAGCTTTAATAGAAACAAAATGCATGAAAAAAAATGCTTTATTATTTTTAATGAAATGACAAAATAAAATTTATTAAAATTTTAATGTTTTGTTTGTAATTTTAATCATCACACTCAATACAAATAAAAATGTCATTATAATCCTCTTCTAGTCCTTGGCAACCATTATGATGCCAAATGCCACATTTTTGGCATTTGATCCACTGACGCCCAGTTACATCTTTACAAAAAATTTGTGTGCAAGTCCCACATGGAGTTGTATCTTTGGTTCGTTTCACCGTTTTACTTTTTATATCTAATAAATCTTTAGAACGCTTTATCTTTTTACAATTTTGATCATCTTTTTCTTGTAGCAATTTTTTGTTTGGTGAGGACGTTAGCAAGGTAGCTCTTTCAGATTTTCTTTTTCTACCTCGTGGCGTTGATGATTTTATTGGTCCAACAATTGACTCCAAAAGGCTTTTTGAAGAAATTGATTGGTTTGGGTCATCTTCAACCACTGATTCATAAAGCACTCACTATCGGACCAACCACTCGGAGTGCATGTCCCAATTGATTGTGGTGGACTGTCATTCATTAAAGAATCCATTATTCTTTTTCTTGGAAAGATAAACATAGGTGGAATAAATATTCCGGCAGCGTTCATAGAACATAAAACAGTTACTGTATGTCCACGTTCCCCGCTTGTAATTTTTCCTATTTGTCTGGAACCTTTGCTGCCAACAATTTTCACTGGTTTCTGAACAGTTGAGATTCCAGTTTCGTCCACATTCCATATTTTCATAGCATTGTAATTTCCATTGTTGAGAGTTTCAAGATATATGTCGAAAAATATTTTTACCTGCTCTTTATTGAAGCCAACTAACCGTGATAAATTTATCGCTTCCGGCTTTCTAATAGATAGCGTTGGATGTCTTTTTAAAAAACCATACATCCAGTCTATCCCTGCCATTTTCATTTCAACCTTGAATGGATGGCTTAATTTCATTTTTTCGGCAAATTCAAAAGCCACTTTCCTGACGTCTGTTGTGGTCACTCCGAAGAATGATTTTTCCATACTTTTAATAATTTCTACTAGTTCTAGTTCTTGGTCCTTTGTAAAAATTGAGTGAAAATGTCCCAGCCTAATTTTTCCAGGAAATTTGGTCATGGCCATCTGATGCCTTTTTAAAGTTCTTGCAGGGACCCCATATTTTTTGACAGCCGTTTTTAGTGGCATGCCATTCGTTACTGATTCAACAGCAATTTTCAATGATTCATCATTATAAGACGAACATCTGGTGGATTTTCTTATGTAATTTCTTACCATTTTCAATCTCAAAAATTAAAATAATTTTAATTTAATTTTAAAAACTTATACAAAAACAAAAGTTTGAAAAAATTTTAAAAATATAATTTTAATTACAATTATTGGCTGCCTTAAGTGAAAATATCTAAAACTTGACAAATAGTTAAAACAATTAAAGTTAGCCTTCTTGCCCCAAAGTAAAAGAGGCGTTTTGCCCCAAAAGAGAGCGCGAAGAATAAATTAAATTTTAATTAACAAAAAATTGTTCTAACCAATTTGAAGTTGATTTTCTATATGTAAAAATGATTTCTCCTCACAACAAACTACTCCTAATCACAAAAAATTATGTTATTTTAACAAATTTTAAAAGAAATCGAAAAACAAAAATTATAACACGAGCGATATTTGACCTACAAATTCTTGAAACAATTATAACAATACATACATACATACATACATACATACATACATACATACATACATACATACATACATACATACATACATACATACATACATACATACATACATACATACATACATACATACATACATACATACATACATACAATTCAATTCAATTCAATTCAGTAATGTGTTTATTCAGCAAAAAGCTAGGAGACCCGAAGATATGACTTGTTGGGCCACCATAAAATTTACACCATAAATTATAAATTGAAAAGAAATGTTCATATTTCACAATGAAATAATGATAGTTCTGTAAATAAGAAAAAATAAGATTATTTAAATTATTTAAGTATTAATAAATCTTCTTAAAATTGAATAAATATAAAGTACATAGCGGAAAACAATCGCATTAACAGAGGACATGGTTGAAATAATTAGACTGAATGAGCAAATAGATAGATTTTCTAAATAGAGCAAGGGAAGAAGAATTTTTAGTAGTCATCGGTAATAATTCCAAAGACGCATAGAGATATATAAGACGGAGTTGAGAAAAAAATTTGTTCTAGGTTTCAAAAAGTAAAATTCAGAATTAGAACGTGAACAATTTTGCCTAGCATTTTTAAATAAATTAATCTGATCTTTAAGAGATTGACAATAATTTAATTTATATATTTTAAAAAAAGATAGTAATAGATAAATAATATGTAGTTGGTTTATGGTAAGGATATTTGCTGTTTTATAGTATGAACTTACATGGTCAAATCTCTTTAATTTAAACAGAATGCGAAGAAAAAAATTTTGAGCTAGAGTTAAAATATGAAGGTTTGATTTAGATGTACCACTCCAAACAGAAACACAATAAGTCAAATAAGGAAGAATAAGAGAGTTATATAAAGTTGTTAAAATAAATCTAGGAAATTTAAACCTCAATCGATAAATAAGACCCAAGTTTTTAGACAGTTTACAAGAGATATGTTTGATATGATTCAACCAAGATAAGTTAGAAGACATAATAACTCCCAAAAATTTAAATGACTCAACCCTTTCAATAGTAATATTATTTCAATATATAACTGGATAAACAATATCTGTTCTAATTTTAGGACCAAATAATATAAAACATGTTTTACTTAAATTGATACGTAGATTATTTGAAACAACCCAATCGTAAACAAAATTTAGTTCGTAGTTAATTACCGAAACAAGTACATTAAAATCCGAGTGAGAATATAGAAGAGTAGTGTCATCAGCAAATAAAATAAATTTTAAAATGTTGGAAGAGTAAACAAAATCATTAATATAAATATTAAAAAGTAAAGGGCCCAAAATAGAACCTTGAGGAACACCCGATTTAATAGGAGACAACGAAGACATGGAACTACCAATAGAAACAAATTGAGAGCGATCATTTAAATATGAAGAAAACCAATTATAAGCTAAACCACGAATACCAAATGAATATAACTTGTACAATAAAATACTGTGATCTAAAGAGTCAAAAGCCTTGCAAAGATCTATAAAAACCCCAATAGAGTATTTTTTAGATTCAAGTGCATGAGAAACAAAATTAATAACGTCTGAAACAGCAAACTCAGTTGACAACTTTTCACGAAATCCATATTGATTTAAACAAATAATATTATGATAATTTAAAAATTTATTAAGACGATTTAAAATAATTTTTTCAATTAATTTTGACAAACTAGAAAGAACAGAGATAGGGCAATAATTATTAATAGAATGACGGTCACCAGATTTAAATAAAGGCAACACTTTAGAAATTTTCAGACAATTAGGGAAGTGACCAGTTTTAAAAGATAAATTAACTAAATGAAGCAACGGAAATAAGACACTTTGAAAAATATTTTTAATAAAAAGTTTGAAACAAAATCATTACCACAACTATATTTGTTATCAAAATTTTTTACAACATCAATCATTTCAAATGGCAGACATTCAAACAAAACGAAAGAATTTGAGATACTAGAAGAAAAAAATTTTTTAAAGTTACATTTAGGATCAGATGAATTTGAAACATTTTGATTGTTTAAAGACGAAAAATGATTATTAAAATGATTACATAATAAGAAATCATCATTGATAATTTGATCATTGACAATAATATTAAGAGGTGATGAATGCTTTAACCCTAAACATGATTTAAGAAGTTTCCAGGTTAGTCTACTGTTTGATTTGCATTTAGTGAATTGGTTGTTAAAATAAGAAAATTCGGATAATTTACATAACTTTAGAAAAATGTTTTTATATTTGGTGTATACCAATCTATCCGACGGCGGGCCTGAACTTAGGTAAATTTTATATAATTTATTTTTTGTTACCGATGAAGTAATTAAACCCTTTGTGATCCAAGGCTTTTTTTTAAGAGTTTTTTTCTGAGAGATACTACAGCATTTAATGACAGCATTTTTTATGATGTCAATAAATAATTCAAAAGCTTCATCGGTCTAAGAGCAATTCAAAACTAAACTCCAATCATAATACTTAAGATATAAATTTAGTTTATCAATGTTATAAAAATTATAATTAAAGGAAGGAATATATAAGTTGGGTATATTAATAACAGGGAAATGAAAAGAAGTAAATATAGGAAAGTGGTCTGACATTGAAGAAAAAATAACACCAGATTTATGAAAAGAAATGTTGTTAGTGAAAATGTTGTCTAACAAAGATGAAACACGTAGTAACACGTGTTGCAGTCGTAATCAAAGAATTAAAACCAAAGAAGCTTAAAGAATTGATGAATAGAGTGGATATATGTTTATAATCGTCACAAAATAAGTTAATGTTGAAGTCACCGATAATGTAAATATATTTAAATAAACCAGGATCAATATTTATGAGTAAAGATTTTAAATCATTCAAAAATAAATTAACCTCAGTAGAAGGAGGACGATACATAACAATAAACAAATAATTACAGCTAATATTTGAAAACACTTCAACTATTAATAACTCAAAAGTAGGAAAATAAGATAATAAATCATCCCGAACAACATAATTTAAATGACTTTTAATAAATAAACCAACACCACCACCTAGGTTACCTATGCGATTTTAAGATACAAAATTAAAATTAGGCAAATTAATTAAATTAGTGGTCTGATCACATAACCAAGTTTCACTCACAGCTACCAAATCAAAATTACCACCACAATAATCAAGCAAAACATTCAACTCAGTCATTTTGTTAAACATACTTCGAATGTTAATGTGAAAAACAGAAAAAGAATTCGGATTAATAAATGCATAAACCTTATCCGGAGGTAAAAAAGAACACACATTATTTAAATCATTCAACAAATTACTATCAGGATCAACATCATCAAGCCGACCAGGTTTAACTTCATTATTGTCAGGCGCCATCTATCAGATGAAGATAAATTGGCCATTGTTCATCATTTTTCATATTGAGATAAAGTTTATTAGAAACATCATTCTTCGTGTTTGTTGTTGTTTTTGTCATCGGTTTTTTTGGGGTTGAACCTCCATTCTTTGACGATGATATGTTGCAAGATAACGTCCGGATTTTTCATCTTAGCAGCATCGCTACTTTCAACGCATACCCTGAACATCGTAGACTCGCAATCGTCGTTGTTTGGACTTTCATTGGCGGGAGAATCTGTGCGTTTCAGTACTGGAAAACATGAAATGACATTTATATCAATGGATTTTAAATATTCCATAACATCGTTTCTGTGGCACTTTTGAACATTGCTCATTGAAAAAAATGATTTTTTATGAGCATTTTATTAGCTTTAATTTTGCATAATTCGTCATTTTTCTTGTTACCAATTATTTTTCTAACTGGTTTTTCCATCATATTCTCTGTAGCAGATTTTATGATGCTTCCATTATTGACGTTACTTCGTTCAACCATCTCTGGAGTGATGTTTAATCTTGGTCGTTTTTTTGACTGAACAACTGTGAATGGTTGGTCGATATTTTCAGTTGGAGTTCTCGCAACATCTGCCAATAGAGTACTGTTGTTGTTGCTGAAATTGTTGTTGTTGTTAACTCTGTTGTCAATAAAATGCTTTTGTTTAGTTTGCTTAGTTGGTGGGACAATTTCCAGCGTATGATATTCAGGTGCGCTGGTCGGTTTGCTGGCAAGATAGTTTACATTCATATTTTCTAATAGTTTTGCTATGTACAACTCTTGCTTGTACAATATTTCTTTAATTTCCAATTTAATTTTATTGAAATTTACATTTGATATATTATCCATACTGGGAATTTTAGAAAAATTAACACTTACGTAGGTTGGTAGAGATTCCAATAAATTGTTTTTGTTTAATTGCAAGATAATTGTAACAATATCAAGCATTTTGTCCTCTTTTTTATTGCTTTTCGCAGAATTTTTTTCCATGTTTGCAAACTTTTCATTTTTAACAAATCCTAAGTCATTTTTTAAAGTTTTTAATGCAGTAGTAATATCGTCAGAAGTGTAAAAATCAACAACATTTGAAATAAACACATCATTTTGAAGTAAATTTAAGTTATTCATCAAAAAATATAAAACCTCATTCACCGACAAATTACCTTTAGACGCCATTTTTCCAATATGTATGTATGTATGTATGTGTGCATGCATGCATGCATGCATGTTTGTATGTATGTATGTATGTATGTATGTATCTAGGAATGTAAAATGTATAAAACGAAATGTAAAATTGCAGAAAATTATACTAATCCCTTTTCTTTTTAAATGTACTAAATATAGTATATAATATATAAAATCAATACGAAATCGAATTTAAAACAACAAACGAGACAAAACTTCGCAAGCGATAATTTCAGATCAGACAATTAATCAAAGACGCTGAAGAAGACAACGACGATGCTTGATCCATAGAACAAAAAACAATTTTTGTAATAAATAAATTTTTATGCCATATCCATTATATCCATGATTGTCTTGTGTAATAAAGTATAATCATTATGTCGTTTTTTATTTTTAATACTGCCATCTTTTTTGATATAAATTGTCGACCAAAAGATTTTATTTGTTGTTATTCTGAACAAAACTGAAAATTTAAACACAGTAGATATTTCAAAAACATTGGAAACGTTGAAACAAAAAAATGCCTAGGTTGTTCGTGACTCAATTTAATCATTTTTAAAACTAATAAAAATACGAAAAACTATACTAATTTATTATTGTTCACAATTGTCCTATAAAATTTTTTTAGTTAAGTCATTCGAAAAAAGCAAAAATATGCATCGTACATTTTTGCACTTTGAAATATTATTTAACTAACAACTCGTAACTATGCATAACAAATTGTATGTTAACTTTAATGTATTAAAAAAACATTGCAATAAATAAATAATTTATATGTAAAAAATTAAAAATCTTATCGGTGAATATTTTATAAGTATTACAATTATTTAATGCTTATTCTTCAATGCTTGTTGTGTAGTGATCCCAGTCGTAAGTAAAATTGAATTTGTAAGTCCATCTCCACTTTTGAAATCTATCGTTTGTGTTGCATGGAAGTAACTGTGGCATTTGTTTGCCATAATGAATAGGGAAAATGTTTGTAACTTGCGTGGCGCACAATCTTTCGACTGGTTTATCAGCACCCTCCTGTACATCGACGTACATCATACCTTCAACTTCGCTGTGCCGCGCCACATCCCAATTTTCTTTAGGGTAAAAGTCTAAACTTGTACATTCACCCAGTCTTAAGAGTTTCGTAGTGTTATCAATACGTACACATCTATTGCGATAAATTAATCTTTTATCAGTGTCTATATGAAATAAATTTTTTGGCAATAGACGATGGAAAAAACAAAATGACGTTAACCCAACGTATTTTTTAGAAGTAATGTAAAAGCACAGTTCGGACATCAAATTAAATACTTCACCATAGTAAACGGCATTCATAGGAGGTGTAGGTACTTCAGGAATTATATTTTCCATAAACCATTTAAACGACTTACATTTTAAATTCTTTTTCATTATTTTTCTTTTCTCTAAAGATGTTTTTTCTTCAACAGTAAATGAAACATGTTTGGTTGGCCAACTGTTTGTTGAAGCTAAAAAAAATTTTTTCCAGTCATCCATCCAAACCTCAGCAAGTCTCATCTGATTTTTTTGCACAATTTTTTCTCGATGGCCATCAAATGAGTAGGCAAACGGCTTGAATGTATGAGCTACTCGGGAACACGGGTGATTTAAAACCTGCCGCAGTTTTTAATAATTAATTAGCTTAAAAACTCAATAAATTAATTTTAATGCAAATAATTTTAGCACACAAAGCTGTAAATTTGTTCTTTCTTGAACGAATTTTTAAAAGTATTTTAATAGCAAATCGTCTTACTTCTCCACCGCACATCCAGCCTCTAAACCCCAATTCAATGTTTTCTGCTCCCCAAATTTGCATGTCATCATCAAAACCACCGATTGAAAAAAAAAAATCTTTTCTTATGGCAAATGCACATCCGACAAGAGTAGGAGTTCTGTGAGCTACAAATTCATGCTGAAACATTACCCTCCTTGCTTCGTGCTGTGGCATTTCCATCCACACGTACCTTCATCAAATAATTTTGTGCATATGTTGTGTATGCGTTTGTGTGTGTGTGTATGGCAGTGTGGGATATTACTTACCGGCGGAACGTGCAATATAATATAAAATATTAATGAACGATTTATCTAATAAACTCAGTTACCTTAAATCCCAACTAAATCCACCTCGTGGAACGGGTCCAGCATTTCCAATGTATTCTAAAGTGAACTGTTCTATTTGATCGACGTGTGGCTGTATAACGACTTTTGGATTTTTCAAAATTTCGTGAAGTAACGGTTCCGCCCATTGTACGTTACTCTCTGTGTGAGCATCCTGGAACATTAGCACATCTGCCGTAGCTATCTTGGCCCCTGTCAAACGAGCCCTGATTAGACCTTCTCTTTTGCTCATTCTTATCAAATGAACTTTACGATCCAAAAGTTTGATGTACTTTTCAAGTGGTTCGTGGAGATCTTCGTTTTGACTGTGATCGTCTACAATTATTACCTAAATTTTTACAATTTTTTTCGTAACAACAAGATTATTTTAATTTTTTAACAAATTAAAAGCCAATTATAATATATATTTATATATATATATATAGAAAAGAAAATATCACTCAAGTAAAAATTATTTTTAAAATTTTGAGCAGAAAGGTTACCAAAGTTCAGTCAATAACCCAACAAGCATGTTTTATTCGTGATGTATTTTTACGCTCTTGACATTTTAAAACTTGGTCACCTAGTTAGCTCTGTCGGTTGATGTTTCGATGTCTCGCGCTGCTATTAAGAGATGGCACGGTTCGAAAACTGTCTGTCCGAAACTCAAAGACCATCATACGCGTATGATGCGGTGCTTGGCCGTGCATACATAATGTGGGGCACGAAAGTTTAATTCATAAGTATAGAATAACATGAAAGAATAATAAATAAAATAAATAATAATTATATATCTGCGTTATAATAAATAAAAATAATTGGAATTTTTTTTATTTCATTTTCGCATTCTCATATAAATAACTAAGAGCCTGAGGCATAGTCAAAGGAGGGGTTTTGGGGCTAAAGCATTTTCCTCAATAAAAATTTTAGCCAGGGTTAAGCTTAAAATGAATAAATTGTCAACTTATAGTTGATTGGAAACTATTGATTTTTCAAGAGAAACACCAATTTTCATTTTTAAAAATTTGTCAAAAATGTAGGATAATATAAAAAAAGTCTACAACTTTTTGTAAAATTTAAAGTTCCACTCCACAACAAAAAATTTCTAACTACTTCCAACGTAATTTAGTTTTAACATATTCAGTTTCAACTCAATTGATAAATATACCTTGTTAACAAGATCTATTTGCAAAAATTTCAAAAATAGGATACAAAAAATTATTTTGCCTTAAACTTTTTTTGTGACGTAGTTATCATTCTTTGAAATAATAAAAGTTATCTTCTAAAATGTTTAAACAAACAATTAACATTTCACAAACCTCTTTAAGTAATGTTGCTGGAGTCCTCATAAGAACACTATGGACCGTTCTCAATAGCATGGACAACGCGTCATTGTAGAACGGTATGACCACCGAAACAGAGGGTAGTTTAGAAATATCATAGTGACGTGGACATTTTTGCGGTCTTGTGTCTTTTATGTTTCGTTCCAATGGCGTTTGTTCACTTAGAGTAACGTTTATATTGTAAGTGCGATCAGCTGGTCTTTTAGGGTTTAGGAAAATAATTTTTTGCAATTTCCGTAATTTTTCTAGCCTCAGTGTTTCAATAAAATTTTCTTTTTTCATGTCAAGAGATTCTTTAAAAGCGTCCCATTGTTGTATTTTAGACAAATACAAATTCGTTAAAGCTGTCGTGAATATGAACACCAAAACTATATCGACGAGAACTTTATATATTCTAGTAGATTTTTTTTCTTCGGACATGATACCTGAAAAATATATTAAAATAAATTTTGTATGTATTTTAAAAAGTGACGTGGTCTGTGAAAAATTTGACAAAACATCTGAAAATGCAAAAAACGATTAAAACACTACTAAATCGTTATACGTGTCTTGACAACATGTGCTATTATAAATAGTGTAGTGTACTTTAATTCATACATTTATTTAATAATCACAGCTGTGCATTGTTTTCTATTGTTATCAATCTCAATAAAAGTAAAGAACGAAATCAATTCGTGTATGCTGTAAAATGAATATCCGAAATAAAAACATTGTTAAAAATATTTAATTTTTGTTTCAACTTTCTGAAACTGATAAGTTTAAAGACTTTAATATTTACTGAAACCTTGAAAAACCCATTTGTTGTCCCATCGCGTTATAATCATTGAGTAATTTTAGTACATTTTCGAATTCACTTTTTTGATATATTTAAGTGTGTTTGATTATAATGAATCAACTTTCTATTTTATGAAACTATATATAAACTCATATTTATTAATCATGTATATAAATAAAAAATTCCAAACTTATATGTATTTCTATGCATAAAATTACAAAATATCCACAAATTTCAATAACGAAGCTTTCAAAAACAGTGGCGTGTTCTTATTTTTGTATATTTTCAATTCACGCATTTGAATAAATTTCAAGACTGCCGTCTGTATTTTAAATCAAAACCACGTCTCCTGGTATTCAAAAAGTTATGCAATTATGCTATTTATAATATTAAGAAGAAATACATATCGTCCTAGATTTGTTGAACAAAGTTCGAAAGATGGTGAACCGCAGGTTGTGATATGCAACTCAGTGCTCAACCATTTATCATTATGTGAAACCATGGAATTAAATTACATGAATTGGATTATGTTACTTTTGTTCGGACCCTGACCGGCAACCGTTTGCATTTTATTTTACTTTTCACAATTTTAAATGACTAACAAAAGGTTTCTCGCATAGATTATAATAAATATCAATGTCATTGAATTACATTGAATTTAAGATTACATAGTGAATTCTGTTTTTGCATATAGTAAAGTGTTTAACATTTACTGAATGAGAAGGGAAGAAAACGAGTGACCAGTGGCGGGGCGGATCCAGAGGAGATGCGAAGATACATGATGAACGAAGACCATGAAAAAAGATAATTCTATTCTCAGTTGTGGATCTTGAATTTTTGTGGAAATATGATTTTAAAACTGTAATTGAAGACCTTTTTTCTAATTCTCCGAATTAACGGTTATTCCTCTTTTGTTTGTTTTGGTGGGAGGTGATGATTTTCAAAATTCTTCGTTAATGACCTTTTTTGCTAATTTACTTAATTACTATATACACAGAATATTCAATATTTTTCTCTTTCATGGTCTGGTGGGAGGATGTATCCCCTAACCCCTCCCTGGATCTGTCACTGTCTGTCAAAATTCCATGTGTATACGCATCTTAATAAACATTGAATTTTATGTAATAAAATGCCTAATACCAAATACCTAATACAAAAAACGCCAATTGTTACGTTCATACCAAGGTTTATTTTTTATGTTGTTTTGTACAAAAAGCAAAAGTAACTAACAATATTTTGACTCCAGCTAATATTTAAAACTATTTTATTTGTTGTTCAAAGGTTTTTCAAATAGAAAATCATTAACAAGCTGAAAACTTTAAAGTATTATTGAAAAGTATTCTTAAAAAGGGAACACCAAAGATATTGCGATTTTTGAAATTTAAAGTATTCCTATGTCGTTGGATTATTTTCAGCGTCGTTTTAGTCAAGTCGCACGTCGTACACAAAGATTTCGTCTTGTTTACGTTAAAGATCGGATGGCTTTGAGAGTGGACGGCGGTGACATCTATTTCAAAAATGTTCCCGTCATATCAAAAGACGCAATTTATTTTCTCGACTCTATAAGTTAGTACATTTAATAATTTAGTTATTTTACTACTAAAAGGGCACGACTATCCAATTCGTTCTTTGGGGCTGGTACTTGGGTTAATCTCGGAGACTGCAAAGTGGTTTTTCCAGCAATATTTATTTATAGTCAACAGATTAAACATTAAAAAAAAACACAAGCTCCTCCCACGGTACAACTAAAAGTTAAACTAAATAATAGCAAAGTGGTAAGCTTGTGAAAAGGCCAAATTCCGAAAACATGTTTTAGAATTACAAAAACTAAAAAAATCAAAATTGTAAAGTTTACAATTTTACAAAGTTTACAATGTAAACCAATTTTGACTAGAATAACAACAAAACCTCAAAAAAGTTATAAAAATATGAAACATTACAAAATGTGTAACAAAATTTTAAAAGTATCTGTTGAAATACTGTAAATCATGGATATGGGTTCGTGGCTCCAACTGGAGTTCACACAAATGGCATAGAAAATTTTTGGAAATGTGCCAAAGATAAATTTAAACAGATGCATAGCACTTGAGCTTATCCGTATATATTATGTTGTATGAATGATTCTTTTTTTTGTCATACGTTTTTCATTCATGTTTTTCAATTTTAAATTCAATAACATTTAACAAATAGAAATTTTTTAAAAAACCGTTTATTTCCTTTTAATTTTTACTTCATAATCTTTTTTATTATTGACGTTCTGTTAAGTTATGCTGAAATAAATTACCTTTTTATTTTATGTTTACTCTACTTCCAGAGCTTTCACATTATATTTTCACATTCAAGAGTCACTTGATTTTCTGTAAAAAGGTAATAAATAAACTGAAATCACACATGCTTCTAAAAATGTACGAAGCTGCCAATAAAAAATTTAAGCCGAGCAATTACCAGCTGTCATTATTGATTACTTTTTATATTTACAGTTTAAAAGTTAACTTGGCTTTATACTACCTTCAGAGTGTACATGGCATACCACATCAATATTCATATGTGACGTGGTTGTCTTTCTTTACATTTACAGAAACACATGATTCAATTCAAATTTTTATGTTAAGTATATAAATTAAATTTTTAATGATATGAATGGTTTTTTTTATTGACAATTTCACAGTTTAACGAAAATGGTTAAAAGTAAAATAAATATTTTTAAACTCAGAGAAATAGCAGGGTTAAGGTAAAGTTTTAGGTTTTAATCATATATTTAGAATACCTATACAGTTCCTCAAACACATCAGCTTACATTTTCAGTGCGCTTTAGAGTCTGGTCTCTTTAGTTTCCAAGTACAATTATTTTTCAAACTTATCAAGTTTTACAATTTTTACATTTTTATAGTGTATTGATAAAAATTTATTCATTTTTTAAAGATTTTAATTATTTTTTAATTTATTTATTTTATGCATATTTAGTATCTTCTTTCTGGAGTGCATATAACTGAGCTGATTTGAGATTGTTGTACTTGACAGGCACCTCCTGGTTTTAATACATTGAATTCACTTTTAAACTGTTAATATATATATATATATCTATATACATTTAAAATTTTTAATAGTATCAAAACTATTTGAAATTTTTCTACTTGTATCATTTACAACAAGATTAATAAGCATAAGAAAAATACCTTAGACCAGAGGTAGGTAAACTATCTTGAGGGTCACATTGAATTATATAGGTATATATATATATATACCAATAATTCTTTTGAAGTTTTTTCATCTGGCAGTACTTGACAACTTATTTGAAGATAAAGTCAAATATTTATATATGAATACACATCTAGATATATGAATATATAAGCATTTGAATATCCATACAGATTTGTGAAGTTCAACAACCAAGGATTCTTTAAAATATTGGGTAGACAATATATAGAATAATTTGGTTTTTGAATTGTAGAAAATTATCATTATTGTTAATGAAAAAAGCTGTGTGGTGTCATTGCTTTGTTGGCATTAATATTGTGTGTTAATTTCGCATGACGTTGATTCCTTTGTCATGGTACTTTGCTGTTAAGGTGAATGCGGTAAGATATTTTGTAGTATGTTGAAAATATGTTGAGAGTTTTGTGAGATTGTCAAGTTCTTTGTTAACCCTCAATTGGTACTTAAAATCTTACGTTCTTAGTACTTGGGTCGCATTTTCACCCCCATTTATTTTTTCTATATAAATCAATTCTAACAAATTTAATTATTTTTAAAATATAGTTAGTACTTGGGTCGCATTTTCACCCCCATTTATTTTTTCTATATAAATCAATTCTAACAAATTTAATTATTTTTAAAATATAGTTAATATACTTTTTCAACTTTTTCAAATAAAAAATATATATTTAGCATTTTATATGCATTGAAACAACGCACTAAACGCGGTTACGGTGGTACAGAGAGACTCTCACATACTTGATATAACATACTCGATATAAGTATGATTTTAATTCTAGTACGAATATAATGAAATGTCGAAACAGACCACATGCAAATGTTGTTCAATGTTTTTTTTAAACTATATATTTAAATAAGACAAACACTGTTCAGACAGTATTTTTGAGCTGTTTATAGATTCAGACAGTATTTTTGAGCTGTTTATAGAATATGCTGAACAAGTGGGCCTAGAGCACATTTCACAGAAGTTTCGTATTATTATAACCGTTGGTATGATATGATAAAATTGCGCTATATTATTTATTATTTGATTATGTCGTAAATATGAATTATGTGGTTACTTGGATTAGTTTATTGTCTCTATTACTGTTGGCTTTCAAATAAACGTTCAACAGAGTTTTTGTTTGAAGCAGATGTGTTCATTTATCCGAAATCTTGAACCTACGGAATAACGAACACTGGTGTTGGAAATATAGAGATCTTTGATGTTATAACATCGGTGATGGTAATTACGAGAGTCAAGGGTTACATATTTGATAGATTGAAATTATCTGCAATAGAGAATACTGGCCTAGAAAAACTCCTTACAATTAGCCTGAGGAAAGAACTTCGACAACGAAACCTCGACTCGAAAGAAGTGGAGGAAGACCTGGTAAGCCACCTAAGATAGAAAATAAAAAAGAAGAAATTTTTACTTACCTGATCCTGACCAGCAATCAAAAGACATCAAAACGGAAATAAACCAGTAATCAAAAGGCTTTGAAACAAACTAAATAACATATATGACGGAATAAACGAGAAGATAGAACCTCAAACATGTGATTTCAAATAAAAATTAAAAAAATGGATTGATAAAATCTATCATCAAGTTGACGAGTTAAACCAGAAAATTGATCAGAAAACGGAGGACTTGAAGGCACTTGGTCTCAAGGAGACAGATGCAATGGATAGATCGGCTTGGAGACAGAAACTGATGAAAGGAATAAAAATGTCCGACCCATAACGGATGGAGACTATTAACGAGGATTGATTGATTGATTGATGTCGTTCCATCAACCAAGTCAAAGCTACTTTACAATATTTTTTATGAGATTTTTTTATTATTTTAAATTCACGCTCAATTTTTTTCATCTTAATGATTTAAAAAATTAAATAAATTAACTAACATAAATAGAAATTAAAATTTATAAAGATAAAAAAAGCTGAATTGCTGACCGAAAAAATAGTTTTTTCCTTTTTATTCATTTATATATTAATTAAAAAACATTCTACATATAGTATGTTCAAATTGGTGATGATTGATGCTAATTGTGATGATGGGTACATAAACACTTTCTAAAATGCTCACATTGATAATGCTCCAATGATTAGGTTACTCTTGTAATAATTCATTCAGATATGGATTCTTTGAATGCTATATTTGGTGTTGATAACTTGGTCTGCATGTCAGGCTCAGGTTCCGACCATGTTCAGATTGGAACCTTCACTAACAGCATCTCAATTAACCAGAAATCAATTAGACCCCTTCTCAAAGTTAGTTTAGTTTCAACATTTATGTTTGTATCAATCGTATTTTTAATACGAATTTTTTCGTCTTATTCATATTGCTTTATATTGCTATTATAAATATATTTATTAAAAAATGTCGAATGTATTGAAGTTAGTTGGTGTTTTAATATTAATAATAAAGTTTCAAAATAAATTGATTGCTGATAAATTTTTCTAAATATTTCAATAAAGGATTTTAATTCAAAAAAATTAACAAAACCAATTTATTAGTGTCAAATAAGGCTTAAATTGTATTGAACAGATAAGCCACAATGTAGAGTACAAAATTAACGACGTGAATTTTTCAAAGAACATCATTTCAAACCACACTACGCAGGGAAGGACAATTGAGCAACATTATGGAAGTAAAATCGAAGTCGGTTTTTGTATATTATGCTGAAAGAATTTGCAAAACTTTTTATAAACACTTCCTTGTTTGCATTCAATTCAACGATAAAATTAAATTTTTCGGACATGTTGTTCACATGCGTAGACGTTTTTGCGAATGTATGTTCAACAATTAAAAGGATAATTAAATATTACCGTGTTAGTTTGTATACCTGCTTAATTTCCCACTGCAGGCCAATTATTTTTCAATAAAAGATGTCAACATTGTCAGTGATGAAGATGAACTGGCGTTTAATTATTTGTATGTTATTGACGGGGTGAGTCATTGATACCATCGTTTTTTATCTAAATGTTGCTTAAGTGAATTTTTTCATTAATTTGTCAATTGTGATCGAGACTCAGCCATTTGTGATGATTTCTATCCACCACGGGATCGTATAATACGAACTGATCCTTTTCGCTTTGTAGGATAAATGTACCAATCATTTCTACTTTCATTTTTTTAAATGGATGCAGCAGCATGTTATATCAACGACGATATAGTAAAAAGTAAGTCAATGAAGTGATGATAACGGGAATATAAAAACTCACAAATAAGTACGCAAGTGAAATCAACATTAAAAAAACCCAAATACAGATCTTATAGTGAACCCAAATGTATATTCACATTTCTTTATACAAAACAGAATGCAAAGAATGTTAAGAGACATAGGTTTATGAGTTTCTGAGAAAATTTTAATCAGAATCATTTTCAACAAGAGGATTGGAAAGGAAAATAAGATGTGTTTTTTTCTATGTGGATTCTTGACTCCTGAACAGACTTATTTTAGATGAACTTTATCAGAAAGAAAAGCACATCAATATCACGTGTGTATTGCTGTGATCTATCACTCGTTTATTCAATCGTTAAAATCGTTAGAATACAGCACAATAACTAATCCACAGGTAAATCACGGAATAAAACCAATCGTCAGTAATTAAGCTTCCATCGTCGGATGTTTCTTGGCCGTAAATCCTCAATATTTGCTTTTCGGAACGCAAGATTATCGTAATTCACTCGCAGACCGCGTGTGGAATTCTTTGCGATAGACTTTTCCTTTGGCGTTATCGCTAATTTGCTTGCAGTACGCACACAAAATATTTCTGCGATATTTCTTTCTCTGCTTGAAACTTCTTCTGACCTCTTCTTAATTCTCGTTCTTCTTTTTTTCGTATTTTCTCCCTGTGTCTTTGTCTCTGTGTGTCTGCTTTGGCGTTGTTTATATAGCCACCGATCTGTTTGTAAATGTGTCACATGTCACAATTTTAATTATTTACGCCTTCTAATTAATTTACAAGCGGTTCATGCAATTTCTAACTATTAGTTCTTATCTCGATCTCACGTCTGTAACGATATCCTTGTCCTTGCTGGCCAAGATATCTGCATTCTTACTTGCAGCTTGTTCTTATGCAATTAATTCTTGGCTGTTACTCCTTATAATTTACTGCCATTTTCAAAAAATTTTTACTTTTTTATTTGTAGTATGCTTTTCTTTTAAATTGCTGTTTCAACTGTATCGTTCTTTTTCTCTGCTAATTTAATTTGTATTCTTCTTCAATACTCCAACTTGTAATTTCTTCCTCCTCACTTCTGCTTATGATGTGTATTATACATTATATAATAATAATAATAACATTATTATTATTATTATTATGTTTGTACATTGATAATGAACCAGAAGTTACAAAGTGAGGCATCATTTAGGCTTGATCAGGCTTCTTGCAAGGGGTTCATTGGTGAAGGTTTCAAAATTGTTTTTATCTTGCTTTTTTATCTTTTTTTCATATTTAACCTTTATTATTTATTTATCAAATTCCCATGTATAAACATGAAAGCTAAACTTACTGAGCTGGTTGAATATAATAATAACATTATTATTATTATTATAAATTAAAAATAGAAAATAAATGTATTCAAATCCCAGCTGGTTTTGTTTTTGTCATTTTTAATTATTGTTGTAGAACGCCTTTGCAATAGCTGATTGATAGCTACACTGTTAATCAAAAGAATTTCAAAAATTAGTTGACGTCTGGGGGCAAGAATTTTCAACAAAAAGTTTATTACCGGGGATGGGAGATTGCACAAATTTTTTTTTTGGAAAATTTTTTCCATGTTCAGTAGGGAAGCCAACTTTTCCCGTAGTGACAATTTTTCCTTCAAAAACACTCTTTTGTTAAAACAACCATTTTTATTAACTATTAATACAAATAACGCTTCAACTGCTCCGGCATCAACTTTATTCAACTTCAAAACATTTTTAACTAATACCAGTAATAGTTTCGTCAACCCGCAATAGAAGGAACTACTCCGAACAATGTTCCTCTGCCAATCATCGTAATTTCATCAACATACTAAAATTACCTCATGTTACTGTCCGTCTACATTTTGAATGCCACTAATATTTTCAAGCCAAAAACTACTGAACACATAAGATGTGATGCGTTTTGTCTTCATCCTTTGTCATCATTATCACTGAGTCGTAGCTCAGGTCCAATCACTCCGATAAATTTATTGTTATCGATGGCTACACACACTTCAGTAAAGATTTTTCAGACAAGCGTCGAGAAGGTGGTGTCTTTATCTACGTCAGTCAGGTCATCCATCTCATATTCATAGCGTCTCATTTCACGCTCTCAATGTCTCAAATGCATAATTGATTGTGAATCATATTTCATCTATCATTCATCTAAACATCCATCATACGAAAGCTCCTCTTATTGGATTACATCAAATTTTCCAGAAATGAAGTTTCAATATCAGAACATTTCTCCGGCTCATAAACTGGTAAAAACTAATTAAGTTCATTTTGTTTCTTCTGGATACTTCGAACATTGGCAAGGGCAAAAGGAAGGTGTCCATTTGTTATTTTGACGAAAGGACTTACCATTACTAGATTAGTAGTTGTTCGTTTTGATAAGACGCATCTCCTGCCTTGAGATAAGCCAGGCCAGTCCGCCTTTTAGAAAGATCAGGATCGATGAAATTTTTTTGGTAGTTGGTGATGATCGAAAAATTAATTCAGATGAAGTTATTACGTCTTCAGCCGTTGTAGAGTTGTCTAGGGTTACACAAATCTTTGGATGACCAAAGCGGCGGGTTTTTACAATTTGCTGTTTAACAGTTAAATTAGTTTCCAAAAAGGAAGAACCTGACTGAAGTTCTAATTTTGATATGATCTCTTTCTTTTTTTCCTGTTCTATCGTCCACAAAGCTTTCGTCATAGTTTCCAGCGTTTTAATGTTGTTGAGTTTCATTACCTGCTGCTGGCATCCAATAACAGTGGTGCCGAGTGTTGTCATAGTTGTATGATGTTCGCTCATGCAGTCAGTTACTGCATCTGACATTACTTCGACCACTCGTTGCTTAGTGCTTCCATTCTAATGACTTTTGTCTCAAACGGCTTACTCATTAGACTTTCTGAATAAGCAAGTTTTACGTAAGTTTTTGTTAGACAATGATTTTAGTTAAATTAGACTAGTCAGACTTCTCCAGTAATTTTCTAGGCTTGTTATTAGAGAGCGTAATGACCTTTTCCAGATTATCATTAGACCTTTCTAGAATCTTTTTGAGGTATTCAAGTAGATTTTCATTAGTTCGGTCTAAAAATTTTGAAACTCTCAACTTGAAATTTTCGGGAAGAGCAAATATAAACCATTTTTACTGAAATAATTACGAATTTATAAAATTGGAAAGCGAAAATTCGAAATTCAAGATGTATCAATGCAAATCAATGCATTTTTTGCGCGTATTCATATACGCTGTTTGTTTTTGTCGTTGAAGTCTCTGAAGCAAGCGCACAAAAGAACTTTAACCTTTAATTGACCTTTAACTTTTAATTAACTTCAACAACATCTTCAACTTTAATCACATCACCAGCAACAACACTCAACCAGTTGTTTCAAATAATAATGTCAATAGCGTCATCAACAATTTTAATAACAATGATAACAGTGATAATAACAGTAAAAATAATAATGATAAGAATAATAATGTTAACACTAACACTAAAGTTAATTTCTAATACTTCATCGACCTATTTTACTACATCAACCTCCAATATTTATTATCCATCATCAAACATCACGATAAGATCACCAGATTCTCTATTCATCAGCCCATACATTTAATTTTTCTTTCGTCAAAAAAATGAGCTCATTAGATTAGGGAGCATCAATAAAGCCGCAGCAATAACTGATCAGATCAAAAATGTTGTTACATTCAACGTAAAAACATTCATAAACAGATAGCGTTGAAGCAAAGCCATGTGGGTTTGGTCAATAGCTTCAGAGGCTCTGAAAAATCATCCAACTTCATCTTCAGCTACTCAATCAATCAATCAATCTTCGTTTAGCGTCCAAAGACCCAGTTTTTCGAGGTAGGACGTTGTTTTCTTTGCCATCAATTTTTTAGCGCCAACTTAGACGATCAGTTGTATCCATTTTATTTAAATTTAGAGCTTTCATGTTTTGTTCCAGTTTGGTTGTCATTGGCCATGTTTCTGCACCATATAACAACACTGGACGTATCACGTAAAGTCTTGATCGTAAAGGTAATGAAATGTCACGCCGCATCAATATAGAGGCAAGGAGATGCCATATATTCCAAGCTGCACGTATGCGTGTTCGAACGGCAGCTTTAGCTATTCCAGTACAATCCAGAACATCCCCTAGATATTGAAACGATGGGACTTTCTCCACCTTAATGGCTTCAAAAACATTGCTATTTTGTTTTTGTTGTTGTGGATTGATGCAAGCAGGGCAAACAAAATTGGACACTGTATATAAAGTACCAATTATTTTTGAACAACGTTTGTGACCCCACTGGTTACATTGCTGACACTTGATTGAATTGTTACCTACACCAGCTTTACAAACTGAACAGGGCCATCGTCCAGTAGCTGTGGATTGGATGGGTTCACCAGTGTTCGTTGCTTTGGTTTTGCTGATGTTGACTTTGAATCCATGATCGGAGAGTCTGGTGTTCCAATCTTCAAACATCTGTGCTGCATTCTGCTCAGACGAGGCTGTTAAAACGATATCATCAGCATATATTAGATTCCAAATGTCACCAGTGCGTATCGGTTTTGTGATTTCTTCCATCACAGTTATAAATAATAGTGGACTGAGAATCGAGCCTTGGTGAACTTTAACGCCGATGTCAAATGCATCTGTATTTCCAACCGTTGTGTTGACGAAGTCTTAGTATTTGTATACATTTCCATCACAAGTCGAACAAGATATTCTGGAATGAGTTGTCGACGTAGACTCCACTTGATTGCTTCACGGGGAACTCGATCAAATTCTTTTTCATGGTCTACAAAAATAGCTACTCAACACATCAATGCTAACATGCTCAACACTTATTTGCTTCTATTTCAACCGACCCGTTCTACAAAACTCTACTAAAAAATCAACCGCTACTAATCATCATTATCAATTTCAGAAGTTTAAACCACTCACAGTTTTTTTTACATGATAGCGAGGGCCTATCCATATGGTCTTCCTCCCTGTTTTCTGCAAATCATCGCATCATTCATCTACAACATCTTAAGTTTACTCTTCAGTCAATCATTTCTTCACAATGGAAATTGCAGAATTCATCCTATTACTAAAACAAAACATCCATCACCTGTAGATTTCTCGTTCACGCTTTCTTGAAAAATTCATTGTTAGGTCATTTACATATACATGTTTTAATCATCCTTCAATAAAACTTCTACCACTAATACCCATTTTTTGCGTTACATGTTCATATACGTTCGCCATCATCTTTTTCATCTGTACAATAACATCTTTTCTTTAAAATAATAGTCATGCTCATCTTGTCGCTGTTGACTTTTCTAAATAACTCTATACTCTGAACCATTTCTCTATTCTAATAAGTTCGCTCCTCTTCCGGGCAACATCTTCAATATTGTTATAGATTTTCTTTCTAATAAGAGTCATTCTATTTTTTCTTTTCACAACTATCATCAACCTTATCAATTAATTCTAATGTGGTTCAACGATTTGTCATTGGATTCTCAACTTTCATCATTAACGTTTCCGTTCGTAAAACTCACCATAACTCTGATAAAATCATTAAATATGTTGACGACCATGGACCATCATTAAAAATCATTATTTAATTGTTTATTTAATCATTCATTCATTTATCCTTTCTTTTTTTTATACTTTATTTATTTATTTGCTTATTTATTTATTTAATTATTCGTTTATTTATTTAAAACAGTTGTTTTCATCATCGTTTTAACGTCCGTGCTTCCGCGCTTGCACGGGTTGGACGGTTTCCAAGGATGCAACTCCTCCATACATCGCGGTCTTGTGCATCTTCCTTTCTTAACTTCATCTTTCTCATATCATCTGCCAAACACTTCTTCTAAGTTTTTCCTCCTCTTCCTCTACCCTTCTCCCCGTCAACTATCACATGTCTACGTGCTGACACCCAGTCATCTTCCTCTCTCCGTTCCACGTGTCCAAACCATCTCAATCTACCCTGTCTCACCCTAGCACACACATTTATTGTATTTAACTTTTGTCGGAGTTCTTCACTCGTTGTCCTGTCCCTCACTGTTACGCCACAATCCACCTAATCATCATTTTTTCTGCCCTTTCCATACGCTGCATATCTCTCGCTCTCATAGCCCATGTATCACTGTCATGCATCATCACACGTTGAACATACGTACTGTATATTTTTCCTTTTACCTTTAAAAAAGCACCTCTTGCTGTCAGAATCAGAACTAGTTCTCGGAACTTAGCCCAAGCACACCGCACTCTAGCTCTCAATGCCTCCTCAGCTCCACCTCCAGATCCTATCATATCTCCCAGATAACAAAACTTCACACATTCCACCTTCCCTTTACAATCTATTTTTATCTCATCTCTTTTCTTATTTTCTTTTGTTCCCCTTCATCAACACATCTTTTACACCAATTTTATACTGCCAGTCAGTCCACTGTATCTCTTATGCACCCATTTCTTACAAGCACTACAGATTATTGAGTTTGGTCCAACACTCGTCTTGCACACCGCACACGGCCACTTTTCAGAATTCATTACTTGTCCAGTCCTTACTTTACAACACATAACTTTTGTTTTATTCATGTTAACCCTTAGCCCTTTTGTTTCATTGCATCTTTCCAACACTTAATCTTCACCACCAACTCTTTTTCAGAATCTGCAATCAGACACAAATCATCCGCATAGAGCAGCTCCCATGGCAAGCCCACGCCCAATTATATTATTTATTTGGTCCCACAAAATAAAAGTACATTAACCAACAGCGATTTGTTAAATTCATGTTGTTGCTACCTATTGTAATTATCTCATGGGAATTTGTACGATTTATGTGATAACTTATCTGAATTTTCACATGATCTACTTCCTCTTTTTACTTCCCTGCTATCATAACCAAATCTAGATTAACGTACTTTATAGTAGAACCTTTTATAATATACTTTTTTTATATTTTTTTATTTAAAAATTGTGCAACCAAAAACGTTATTAAAGGTTTTTATGTTATATCAAATGAATTACGAAAATTTTATACAAGGAAACTTTAAAGAAAATGATGGCTTTATCAATAATCATTTCTGTAATTGACAATAACCAAAATTCAATCTGTGTGCTCTCCAGTTATCGCTGACATTTATGTACTTTTTTTTAGATTTTACGTAGATTTTAGTATTGAATCAGTCTGTAAAGATGAATTAAATTTCGGAAAGTTATTCCGTTACAAAAGTTTATATATTGCTGATTGTTTTGCCAACTTGACTATCAAGACATTCTTGCACAACAATTGATTAATAACATTCACCTCCATCGAAGTAAAGTTGTGGTTTCTGATATTTTAAACCACTTCTTAATATAAAATTCTAACGATAAATAATTCTTAATGAAAAAATTGACCATGTTAATGTAAATTGATTGTCCTCATATGAAAATTATATTATTTATTTGACGTATTCAAAATAATGAAAAGCGTATCTAAAAATGTAAACCTGTAGTCAGCGTCGTCAACAATAGTCAGTGTTGTGAACTTCTGAAAAGTATCGGTGATGTTAATAGCCAGCTATATCTTTTTCAAAGTATCGATACCAATGCTGATACAAATCTGTAAACTATTACCAATGCTTATATTTATAGCGATACTTTGACACTAATTGTAATGCCTAATGATGCTAATACCTACAAACCAAAGAAACAAATGCTTGCCCATTTATTTAAATTTTTGAGTCACTGAGTGTTACTAAAAGTGAAAATAATAATATATAATTTATACGGCGCTTTATTATAGCGTCGAGGATGCTCAAACAGTTTTAAATTCTTGAAAAATGGCTAAA